GCACAGCTTAGCCAGTTAGCCGCCTGGTGGACTGGTTAGCCAGTCAGTCGCTTGGTGGATAGGTTTCCCAGTCAGTTGCCTGGTGGACAGGTTTCCCAGTCAGCCGCCTGGTGGACAGGTTTCCCAGTTAGCTGCCTGGTGGACAGGTTTCCCAGTTAGCCGCCTGGTGGACAGGTTTCCCAGTTAGCCGCCTGGTGGACAGGTTTCCCAGTTAGCCGCCTGGTGGACAGGTTTCCCAGTTAGCCGCCTGGTGGACAGGTTTCCCAGTTAGCCACCTGGTGGACAGGTTTCCCAGTTAGCCACCTGGTGGACAGGTTTCCCAGTTAGCCACCTGGTGGACAGGTTTCCCAGTTAGCCACCTGGTGGACAGGTTTCCCAGTTAGCCGTCTTGTGGATAGGTTTCCCAGTTAGCCGTCTTGTGGATAGGTTTCCCAGTTAGCCGTCTGGCGGACATATTTCTAGATTACATGATTAATTCTATTATCGAAGCAAGTACCAAACTTGTGCAGCAAGGTAAAAATTAATTATTTTTTTAATGTCTAAAAATTTGTGTTGTTGGTCATAGAGATACTCCCACAGAAAAGAGAGTGCCTGTTGTCACTAAAGAGAGAAGCACACCAAATGGTCAAAAGAAGCCTGCAACTGATACACCCATAAAATCTGAAGTTAGAACTCCTAAGTTACTGACTCCAAAATTGAAGTCATCTACAACTCCGCTCAGGAAAAAAGTACCGTTATTTAGCATACTGGAAGACAAGTCATTGCTGGTAAGCGAACAATTTTAGCACATTTGTATATATGACAAAATGTAAAAGTGCAGTGGGCCATTCCAGTTTATATCTGCACCCCTCCCCCTGTTGATGAGCTTGTGTGTTTATTTCATACAGGGTATAATTTCAATGGGTGTATAAGTCATACAAAGTTTTATTTCCAAATCACCATTCACCATACAGTAATGGAAATCCAAAACTATAGGTCCTACTTATGGTGTTGATGAGTTCCATTGTGCCACCATACAGAGTAGGATTTCCAAATTTAAATCTCATCATATGCTAATTTACCAAATTCAAAATTTTATATTTGATAATGGAATCCAAACTAGTCCTGATTCACGTTGTTGATGAGCTCATTCGTGCCACCATCCTTATCTAATTTCAGTAATAACTATTTCATGCTGGCCCAATTTTTTTACCATATACAGTCAGAATTCCAAGTTTTTTTTAGGAAATCCAACTGGTATGTGGCGAGATAAACTAGGCCATATTTTATTTAGTAGCCATAACTGCCTGGATTTCCAGGAATTTTTTTTTCATACTTGTCTAGATTTCCAGATTCTGTTTCTTCATATACAGTTGGAATTCCGCGGTATTTTCCCCATCATACAGTGCTGGAAATCCGACCACATCAACAGGGGGGTGCAGATATAAACTGGAATGGCCCAATGACAAAAATATATTAGAAGAAAATAAAATGAGTGACTGAAGATGAATTGAATATAATAAAATAAAATAAAGTACAGACAAATACAAAACAATACCTTGCAAATTGTTTTTCCATTTGATGTTGCTAGGTACCTGCTTCACCGTATCAGTACACTAAAGATGATGTGATGGAGGACAGGAAAAGAGCTGAAGAAAGGGTCAAGAGAATGATGGAAGGGGTGGAGGAACCACAAAACAAACAAAATGGTTAGAAAATATACTTGTTGCATTGTGCATCTAAAAGAGATTGAATGTTGAATGATTAGTGTCAATAGTAGATTTAATTATCTATTTTTTGGTATTTCTTTTTTTTTCAAGTGGGTCAATTTAACCTGTTTTCTAAAAGTTGAGAACAGTTTGACTGCAATAACACTGATACAGCAGCATCACAACTCGTACTTATCACATGCACCAAAAACTGTTGGGTTTTGCTTTTTGCTCGACACTGGGACCAAAAGTTTTTGTCAGTATTAGTTGACGTTGTATGCATCATAAAGTTGATGACAATCATATACCAGGTCAATGTTTTTACTTTTAACTCTTATCTCATCATATACTTTCAACCACAGGAAGCTGTAGTTTTGTGCCAAATCTTCATTAACCATGGTGATATCAATAGCATTTGATGAGAACATCCCAACACAATCATTCCCTTACTGGAATCCATGAAATGATATTATTTTGTTTTTCTTTTACTAATAGGAGTCTTTACTGTGGACACCACATTTGAAATTTAATCTTTTTGTTCAATATTTTATACTAATTAAGATGTACTGATTGTGATCAATCTTTTAATTGCATTTTGTATAGCTACGTAAAACTTTCTACAAATGTATTTTGATGAGAGCCTTGATCAATGCAGTAAGTGACCTGTGATGCCCAAACACATTGTATAGCTTGTTGATTTGTCATCTAAAAAGTGTTTTCAGCTTTCAATACATGCCCACATGGTGTAGCACACATGCTAGTTGTGTAAAATCTCTACTGCATTAAAATAAAAGGTTGTCTATTTAAACCTTGGTATTTGGTTTTAAACTGCTCAAATTTTTAATTCTGATGGGAATGTTGATCCCAGTACATGGCAAGGCAAATTGGGTTGCCAAGTAGTATACAACAGTATATGAACAACACAATCAGGCAGAGACTACCAGACCAGACAAAAACGTCAGGATATTTTGGATGGTTTACAAGGGTTTTTTGTTATAGACAACTGTGACTGTTAATTATAGTGGCTAATCAACCAACGATTCATGTATCCTGACATAGTCATGGAAATCATATCAAACAGATCAAATGTAACCAACACGAAAA